GCTGAGTTGGTTTGAATGATATACAGGGTAAGTCCCCAGGGGTCATCCCGACCCCCTGCCATTTGAGAAAGTTCTAATATCTTGTAAATGGTCGAGATCCCCACCCCTAACCATATATATTCTGGTTTGTCATGATAAAGCTCATCAAATGTTATACAGGGTTAGTCCCCAGCGATCACCCCCACCCCTTGCCATTTGAGAAAGTTCTAATATCTTGTAAATGGTCGAGATCCCCACCCCTAAACCATATATATTCCGGTTTGTCATGATAAAGCACATCAAATGAAATACAGGGTTAGTCTCCAGGGGTCACCCCAACCCCCTGCCATTTAAGAAAGTTCTTATATCTTCTAAGTGGTCAAGATCCCCACCCCTAAACCATATATATTCTGGTTTGTCATGCGAAGATGGTTTGAATGATAGACAGGGTTAGTCCCCAGGGGTCATCCCGACCCCCTGCCATTTGAGAAAGTTCTAATATCTTGTAAATGGTTGAGATCCCCACCCCTAAACCATATATATTCCTATTTGTCATGTCTTGAACATTTGAATGACGTATACGGTCAGTCCCCAGGGGTTCCCGCCACCCCCAATGTTCTAATATCTTGTAAATGGTTGAGATCGCCACCCCTAAACCATATACATTCCTGTTCGTCATGTAATGAACATTTGAATGACGTATAGGGCCAGTCCCCAGGGGTTCCTCCCCACCCCCCAATATTCTAGTATCTTGTAAATGGTTGAGATCTCCACCCCTAAACCATATATATTCTGGTTTGTCATGCCAAGATGATTTGAATGATATACAAGGTTAGTCCCCAGGCATCACTAATGCATATAGCTTTACTGGACCAAACCAATTTTCACTGGACGTTACCCAATGTCAGGCGACCCTGGGAATTTCGAATTATGGGAGCTTCGTTTGGGAGACTTCGTAACAGCATCCTGTTACAATCATTTCTTGTTAAATTTTGTTATGATTATTGTAAACTATAAATTACTTTTTTTTGTGAGATGCAAGGATTTAAAATCCTTGTGAATTAAAACCACGCAAGTAATTTTTTCATTCACGACCGATTAGAATTTAGATATTTAGCTAACTTTGGGTACGCATCCCTGCTCATTGGTGTTCATAAGTTACATATAATTTTCATAAATATAATGACTGATCAAACCTGTGAGACATAAAGCACGTATACATTACAATTTTAATTATATTCTATAATTATTAGGAATAAATTCAGTCTCAGTTTTACCTTAACAATGAATATTCTCTTAGTCTGGTAGTATCTATTAATGAAATTAGATATTTTTTTTACAGAAATCATTTTGTTTGATTATCTTTCTGCTTTCCGGCCACTGTGTTTCCGACCTTAGATAAATATTTTTAACAGAAATATCGTTTTCTTAATTTTCTTCATCCTTTCCGACATTTTCTCATGCTATGATTGAAATACTAAATATCAAATGATAAACGTTCAGAAATAATCAGTTTATTCTGGGTCATTGTATATCAATAAACTATTCCCAGGTTTATTAAATACAACACACACAACGCGTAGAGGGACCGTCTCAAAGCATGAATTATATAATTGCGTTATCATTATACTTGATATTTAATAAACATTCACATTATTAAAAGCATATATGTTTTGTCAAAAGGCAAATATGTTCTAACGTATAAATGATTTTTAGAATGCAACCTAGTCTTTATTGTTTTACTTTCAAATCTACAAGTGAACCGTTTGTCGGATTGTTGAAATATACATATTAATAATATAACTTCAAAGGCAAATAAAACTCTAGGATTTTTACGTAGAAACATGAAAAATTGTACACGTAAGGTTAAAAACCTTACGTACACATCACTTGTGCGTCCGACCGTCGAGTACTCCTCACCAGTTTGGGATCCGTACAAACAAAGCCAAATAAACCAAATTGAGCAGATACAGCGTAAGGCAGCAAGATATGTTTTTAGTGACTATAACGATAGATCACCAGGTGCTGTCACTGGTATGTTAAACAAACTAAAATGGGAAAACTTGCAATCCCGTAGAACAAAAGCTAAGCTTGTCTTGATTTATAAGATTAATGGGGGGTTGGTCGAAGTCACTAATGACGTCCTGACACAATCTGACAGGCGAACTAGAGGCCTACATAAATTTCGACATATATATACAAATAAAGACTTTTTTTAAATCATCTTTTTTCCCAAGTACTATTGCTGTCTGGAACGATCTCCCAGAAACAATTTGCATGTCACCCTCCCTAGAATCCTTCAAAGGTGGTATCTCCACCTTAACATTTGGAGGTTCTAGTCTGGCTAATTAATTAGTGTATTTAAACCACTGTACATAATGTGAATATGTTTAACATTAAGCTACAACTAATGTTATTTTAAATTGTAATTGAACTGTGGCAAATATTTTTATCTTATAACAAAATTTTCGACATCCATTTGCATGTACATAGCGCCACAATTCCGGGATATTCCACACTCCGGCACCGGAGTCTTTCCCGTACCAGGAAGAAGAAGAAGAAGATACAATGTCACGTTGTATCCTATCCATAGAGGGACCATATCAAAGACATAAATTACTACCTATATAAATGATGGAAAATTTTCGAGACGTTCCGAGAATCGTGATTCCGAGGATATCGAGTGGCCCATAGACTCTTCCAAAACTCGCCAATATTCTCAGGGGTTCTCGCAAAAAAAAATAGTTGCATTTAAGGGGAGGGGGAGAGGAACTATAAAATAATTTCCCATCAAAATGATGGTTTAATTCTGAAAAAAACTAAATGCTTTCAAATTTTATATATCTATTTGATGCTGAGCCTTCAAACTTACTTAACTGTACAGGTTTATCTGTAATTTTGGTTAGTGCAAATTCAATAATAAGTCTCCATATCGGTCAACCGGCACATGGCAACATTGGTGATTCAATATCTTCCTTTTAAGCAGCAATCCTCCTTCAAGAAAATCAGGAATATTGTGTTCATTTAGGCCTATAAAACAATTTTTTTTCGCTAACTCTACATACCTTTATCCTCAGTGCCTACCCTAAAATTTGAGCAAGCACTATTAAAGTCAGACTGGTTCCCACGTTTAAACCAGCCAACAACTTAAACAAAAATAAACGTATATATAAATAAGAAGATGTGGTATGAGTGCCTGGCCAATGAGACTTGTAACTCTCCATCAAAGTCATAATGTATAAAAGTTAAGAAAATTATAGGTCAAAGTACGGCCTTCAACACGGAGCCTTGGCTCACACCGAACAGCAAGATATAAAGGGTCCCAAAATGACTAGTGGAAAACAATTCAAACAGGAAAACCAACGGTCTAATCTATATAAAAAACGAGAAACGAGAAACATATGAATCACACCAACAAACGACAACCACTTAACAACTGACAGGTGTATAAAAATGCAGCGGGTTTGAACGTGTTAACAGGCGCCAACCTTCACCCTATCCTGAGACAGTAGTGTAACATTTACAACATAAAAGGACACTATAAAATATCAATTGAAATGGCTTAACTCGATCAAAAAGACATTTAAACAAAAACAAGTATAATTATGCCTACTAACCGTAATTTTTTTCAGCATGTTAGCGGAAACACATATTTTATTTTGAGCTCGGTGGCTGATTGATCTAAGTAGTTCAACTACTGTATCACTAGCCTGTCAACACTGAGGTTGCGAGTTCGAATATTGACTAGGATTGTCAGTTTTCTTACTGTAAGGTTGGTGGTTCTCTCCGGGCACTCCGGCTTCCTCCATCAATAAATGCTGGCCGCCACGACATAACTAACATTGCTGAAAGTGGCGTTAAATGCCAGTTCGTTAATCAATCATTCATATTTTATTTATCAAGCCTTTAGTTATCTGTAACCTGGCTCTCCTGTGGGTTTTAAATAACGAGGAAGTCGAGAGCGCCAATAAACTTCTACATGTTCTACAGGAGAATTGATTTTTTCAAAATATTAACTATTGCGTGTCAGTCTAGTAAATATATCTGACAAGAACCTCCTTGGTCTAATGGATAAGTTTTTTGTTTTAAATTCTTTCCCTTCTAATCTTTACTTTACAAGCCTGTTCCCTGTTGGGTCGCATGTCGTTATATTACTTATAATAATGTAATCGAAAAACCCCGCAAAAAGTATCTTAAAATGAACAGATAAGAACTATAAAATTAACACTCATGGAAAAAAAAACTCTGTATATCCGCTAAAAACCACACAAATGCATAAACAAAAGGGGTAACAAGCTTTACTTCGGCGCGCTTCATACCTTTCTGAAAGGTTAAATGCAACCGACTGGTTTTACAGTGCCTAAACACTCACCCGCTTGGTATGAATGTTTTGATACAACATGAAAATAACACTTTAAAATAAATTTGGTTCGTCCGAAGTGATTTTCTCCAGAGCAAGACATTTGAAATCCGAAGATGTACTAATATAAAAATAAGAAGATGTGGATTGTGAATGAGACAACTCTCCACAAGAGACCAAAAGACACAGAAATTAACAACTATAGGTCACCGTACGGCCTTCAACAATAAGTAAAACCCATACCACATAGTCAGCTATAAAAGGCCCCGAAATCGCAAATGTAAAACAATTTAAACGAGAAAACTAACGGCCTAAATAGATCTGAAAACGTGTGGAACTATATGATCTACATGGACATACCACATCTTCTTATATCTAATTACAGATACCTTATAATCTGTGTTCCCGATTGCTACATGTATTAAATCGATTGTTTTTACTATCGTGTATAGCAGGTTTTGATCTGTGTTACCATGCAGTGGCAACTTGCAGTTTCGTATCCATACGATATTAAGATGGACTTCAACAGTTAAAGCGGTCATCATGGTAATATTATTTTTTTCTGTGTGTATATAGATCTTTGTATGTTTTAGAACAGAAAATTAGAGGGATCATAATAGATATAGGAAGATGTGGTAATACATGTTATACTTAATTGTAGATGCACCAGTACATTACAACCAACTCATAGCCGCACAAGTTCTGGAATGTCTTGCCCTGGTAGCCTTTTTAGCAGCTGTGACATGTGCTTTCCTGAAGATGTTTGCACTCAAGGAGCAAGGAATGCTATTTGTTGTCACAGGCTTACTTAACTGGCTGGCAGGTATATATATAAATATTGACAACTCAAAAGTTTAACCTAAACGACGAAATATACTTTCGGACATTTATGACGCAACAACTTTTCGCATTTTTTGTAGCTAAAACATGTTATTGTAGAACAGTCATCGTGCCCTCTTTGTTCTGTGATCAATTCGACGTAGGAAACGTTTTCAGATCTCCATGGACAGGGATTAAAAATATTTGCAGACGAACAACAGTATATTATATGTAATGTATTTTAACGACGAAGAAGAAAGTATTTATGAGTTAATTAGAAAATCAAGTTTACATTTTAACGTATCGTTAAATCAATAAATTATACGTTCTATTTCTCATATTTCTGGCAAAACAATAATTTATCTAATTCTTTGTATAAATTGCTTATTTCTTGACCAATTCCAATGGGGTTTAATTCAAAGATTTTAATTCTTGAGGGTCTTTAATATGTTGAATCTAACCGTGTATTTAGATTTTGGATTTTGGGTCCCGTATTTAAAATGGTCCACAAAGAGATCCAAAGGGTCCAAAATTAGAATTAAGTTTTATTTTAACAAAAATTGAATTTTTAGGGTTCTTGGATAAAATGCTAAATTTTATCATATATTTATATTTTTTATTTTGTGCCCAGTTTTCAAATCGATCCACATTCGGGTCCAAAATTAAACTTATTCGACTTTAACAATACGTGTTATTGAATTCCTGGGGTTCTTTAATATGCTGAATCTAAATATGTATTTAGATTTTGGATTTTGGGCCTATTTAACAAATTGGTCCTTAGTGAGGTCCAAAGGGTCCAAATTAAAAGTTGAATTCTTGGAGTACATTGATTGTATTTCTTTTCTTTCATATCTGGCCGTTTCTATTCTAAGGGGAGTAACTCCACATCTAAATTTAGTAAAAGCACTACTTAATTTAGGTGACAAATTACATTTTAAGTAAGGTTCAGTACCATAATCATATTTAAATAACTTACATGTTCTTAATTTATTACCTTGAGCATACGTAGATACTCTATGACTTTCAATCCATTTTATATTTATTATTGTTTCAATTTGTACAAGGATACTCTTATTTAATACATTAGTTTCAAAGTTACAATAGCCTTCAAAATTATGAGTTTTAAACATTTCCTTAACTCTATGGTTCCAATTCTTAATTCTACCTCTAGTTTTCTTCATCAACCATTTGAAAACTTTAAAATTTATTCTATCATGACTCATATTTGAACATCTTGCCCAGTGTCTAAATACACTTGTCCATTGTTTTACAGATGGTGGTTCCCAACCCATATCTCCATGTATGGCATCATTTGGGGTATATTTACCGACACCCATAAAAAAATCGTATGGCTCTATTTTGGACAGCATTAATACATGAGTAATTGCGTGTACCCCAAATACATGATTATGGGTTAGTGTTGTATAATTTAGAAAATATATCGTGTTGGAAACCGCCATGTTTTTTACTTTTTACAATCAATAAACCCTATGCTCTACTAGCTGACTATGGCTACTGTCTTAGGCATTAATTGATAGTCTAAAAATTCTGTTAATAACAATCCCAGGTATAATTGATAGTCTAAAAGTTCTGTTAATAACAATCCCAGGTATTAATGGTCTAAAAGTTCTGTTAATAACAATCCCAGGTATTGATGGTCTAAAAATTCTGTTAATAACAATCTCAGGTATTAATGGTCTAAAAGTTCTGTTAATAACAATCCCAGGTATTGATAGTCTAAAAATTCTGTTAATAACAATCCCAGGTATTAATGGTCTAAAAGTTCAGTTAATGATAATAACGATCCCAGGTATTGATAGTCTAAAAATTCTGTTAATAACAATCCCAGGTATTGATAGTCAGGGAGCTACCATTTGATTTTCATGGGGGGGGGGGGGGGGGCTAGGATGAAATTTGAAAAAAAGGCAGGACAGGAGTTTTGAGTAAAAAAAAGAAGCAGGATGACAATTCATGTAAAAAAAAGTCAGGATAAACTAATTAAAAAAAAGGCAGGACAGAGTAGAGTGAAAAATAAAAAGGCAGGACAGAGATTACAACTAAAAAAAAAAATGCAGGACAAAATTTTTTATCCTAGCCCCCCATAAAAATCAAATGGTAGCTCCCTTACTAACACATTCCATTGCATTACTACCTATTGTAACATTACATTCAGTTCGAGGTACAGATGGATTTCTACAATGCATAATTTTGGACTTAATAATATTGACATTAAGTCCATTAGCAATACACCAATTGTTAAGAATATTTAATATTTTCTGTAAATCACTTTCATTTTCAGCCATTAGTACCATATCATCAGCATGCAATAACATTGCTATTTTTTCATCATCAATATTTATACCAATATCTAGAGCATTTATATCATCAATTAGAGTGTTTATATAAATGTTAAACATAACAGCCGATAATATACAACCTTGTTTCAAACCAGTATCTACATTGAACCATTTCTGGCTATCTGCACGGAAGAACGCGAAATAAAATTTCCATTTCACGATGAACGAACGATTGAAAATGTCTTGCACGTTGATCTTTTTACCGATTTCACGAAACACGGTGAATAACGAACCTTTTTCACGGCTGCACGTGAAATAAAAATGGCAAAACACGTTGCACGAAAATAACCCTTAACCACCCTCCTTTAAGTTGATGTTCAATTTACTTATAGTTAACCGGGGGTGACGAATTAGACACGCCCTCTTAGAATCAGGGGATCCAAAATAGGATCAGGATAAAAAAAAAAAAAAAACGGCCAGCGAAATACCATAATTTACAATTTCAGAGAATCCAAGAGCTTTTAGTTGATTATCTCCGATCAATATACTATTTTCATATTACCGACTTTTGACTCCGGATTATATAATTTGTCGACTGGTTACCTTGGACATCATGGTACCAAGTCGGGTAAGAGCAAGCTAAAGAAGTAAAACCAAGCTTTCAATCGGTACAATTTGGGGGGGGGGGGGGGGGGGGAAATTACCTGGTTAATATTTTTTGTTCCTACAAAATCATCGGAAAACAGTAAACTATCCCCTCAAATTACACCGATTATATGTTTGATTTTACTTATTTTGGTTGCTCTTACTTGACTGAGTACCATGATGTCCAAGGTAACCAGTCGACAAATTATATACTCCGGAGTCAAAAGTCGGTAATATGAAGATAGTCTATAAACCACCCTCATCATCATCATCTTATAGTGACCGTTATTGATCGTAAATTCATGTCGTTTTCTTTTTTGGCATTCGTCTAACGTGGAGAAAAAAGAAAGAGGGCAAAAAGGGGGGGGGGGGGGGGGGGGGGGGGGGGGGGGGGGGGGGGGGGGTGGTAAGAGCTTAACTTACGATTTTGATCATGGTTCATTTTTATACGCCCGTCAATATTTGACAGGACGTATTATGGTATACAAATGTCCGGTGTCCGTCCGTCTGTCTGTCCGTCTGTCTGTCCGGCGTAAACATGTCGCACCGTAACTTGAGAATGACTTATCCAAATTTCATGAAACTTAACATAGTTGTTTCTTATGATGATCAAACGATCTGTATACTTTTTGGTGAAAATAAGATTAAAACTTTTTGAGTTACGGGACTTAGTAACTAGAACAGGTGTGTGTTTTTTTTCACATGTCGCGCCGTATCTGAAAAACAATTTATGATTATTGCTTAAAACTTTACACACTTCTTAGTTATATTAATCTAAAGATCAGTATACTTTTTGGTGATGATTCAAAATTTTATTTTAGAGATATTGAGTATTTTGTTAAAAAAGGGGGAGGGGTTTTTCACATGTCGCGCCGTATCTCAAAAACAGTTTATGATTATTGCTTAAAATTTTACACACTTCTTAGTTATATGAATCTAAAGATCTGTATACTTTTTGGTTTTGATTCAAAATTTTATTTTAGAGATATTGAGTTTTTTGTAAAAAAAAAAGGGGGTTTTCGCATGTCACGCCGTATGTCGGAAACTATTTATGCTTATTGCATAAAAATTCACACACAAGACGACGGGCGTATCATGCGCTCATGGCGCAGCTGTTTATTATTTTAGTACGGCATACGTTTTACCTCTATCCAACGCTCTATCTTATTAAAGTATCGCTGTAAAATTGTTGTCATTTGCTTCAGGTCAATCCACTTTGCATCTCGTCGTGTATGCATGACATATTTGCCACTGGACATTAAGGGAACAATCAATTAATCAGCTTCATTTAGTGATGTATAATCATTATTCTTCAGTTGATAATTGTCTCAAATTGTTTTCCACTTTTTATATATATTTGATTTTTATTTATATTTGATTTTAAGTGTAAATTTTATCATTTCTCTCCTCATTTTTGTCGAGCCTGCGACTTTTGTCGCAAAAGCGAGACATAGCGATCCTACATTCCGTCGTCGTCGTTAAACTATCCTGGATTTCTACCAAACTTGGACAGAAGCTTGTTTATGATCATAAGATAGTATCCTGAAGTAAATTTTGTAAAAAAAAAAAAATCCTATTTATCTGTATTTTACTTATAAATGAACTTAGTTTTTCTTCCAGTTAACATTACATTCACTCTGTGGTTAAAATTTTAATAACTTTCTTAAACTATCCTGGATTTGTACCAAACTTGGACAGAAGCTTGTTTATGATCAAAAAGCTAGTGTCTAGAAGGAAATTTTGTAAACATTTATTTCCTGTTTTTCCGTATATAACATAAATGGACTTAGTTTTTCTTCCAGTTAACATTACATACAGTCTTTAGTTAAAGTTTTTAAAACATTTATTAGATTCATAAACCATTCTGGATTTTTACCAAACTTGGATAGAAGCTTCTTACAATCAAAAGATAGTATCTATAGGAAAATTTTTAATAATTTGTTCCCCGTTTTTGTTGAGCCTGTGACTAGCAGCAAAAGTAGGCGAGACACTGGGTTCCGCGGAACCCTTACGAATTTTTCTCTTTGCATTTATTTTTTTTTTAACATTAAATAACATAATT